GATACTTTCTGCTGAAGTATCGGATATCCGATTTACTAAAAAAAATGGAAAAGGACCGATTAATAGAAGCCCACCACTAATAGAATCCAACTCTGGCTGTGCAGTTCGTCTTTTTGGTTATTTCAGACGAATTGTTTTTCCAACTTTTGGTGATTTCCGTTAAGTCTTGCGTGTTTTTAAATATTCTTCTTCAGCTTAAAACCGAAAACCCTTAATTGAAGTTGTTCCTCTGATTGCAGTGCATTCTGAGAAGGACATTTGAAAATTGAGTTTGAAATTCTAATGTAAGATCCGGAATATTTCAATTCCAAAATTTATAAATATATGAATTTTTTAACACCCGAAATTTTTGTTTTTCTGGATATTTCGATTTGTGAGTGTCGGGTTTTCAGAATTTCTGAAGTTTAGAATCACCCACACGCACAACTACTCTTAAGCCTTTGGTTCTAAAGCACATTAAATACACCGGGAAGGGGCTAGAACAATTGTATCTTCATGGAGAAGGCGTGCCCCTTCTTCTGCTGAACCTTCTTTTCGGATACTCAGAAAAACAAAAATTTCGAAACTCGGGTATTGAGAAAATGAAAAAAAAACTGGATAGGAAATTCAGATTCAGTACACAGTTTTGCTCCTTCTGGGCTGAACTTCCTGGTTCCTTTCAACAACACTCGGAAATTCATTTTTCGATATAATTTTCGACGATTATCTTTAAAACGTTCATGAAAAAATGATTTTTTTTAATGGTGCATAAGAAAAAACTGGTTGAAATAAAAGATTATATTATCATGATTCATGAACATCCCATAAGAAATACATATTCCCTTTTTTGCCCATAATTGAAAATGTCCACTAGGTGTCCACTCTTTTGTCTTTTTTTATATTTGTGTGAACAGCTATTAGTAAAACTGTCATGGTTCATCAATATGCAGAAGACCTGAAATTAAGTGTCACTATCGCAGAAAAAAAAAATCGAATCGTGTTCTTCACTTCAGTACGCATCAAAGATCTTTGAATGGCTGATAAAAGCGAAATTCGAACTGAATTTGTCAATAACTTACTGTATTAGTATAGGGAAACTGTAGTCAGTGATTTAAGGTATTGATCAGAATCTTATTCTAAAAATTCTTTCACAATGCTTTTTCTGGAATAAGATATACACTAGTTATGTGTGGAGTATAAGTTGGAAACTCTAAAACGGTGAAAAGAGGACTGTAATTGAGAAATTGTTCATAAGAATTGTTCTAGGTAAAAGATTTCTTGAAAATGTGAACTATCGATGATTAATGGATTAACTTTATGTATGTCTACAACTCGCTCTCTTTGCTTATATCAAGGTGCTTCATAATCGCCTTTTTACTATTTCAAGACTGTTATCTACATTTTGATGTCTGTCTTTTTGTTTGAAAAATAGGAAACCTATGATTGTCATGATTACCATTGACTAATCAGGCGTTTATCAGAAACCACAAATGAAAAAACGTATGAACAGATAGATTAGCAATTTTTATAATTTGATATCTTTTATGATTTTGACGTCTTCTGAAGATGTTCCCCAGTTGACTACTGTACCAACCTAATTCATTTAGAGTTTTCACCAACCCCTGTATTTTCAGAATTCCGAATTTCAAACCTTTTTTATTTACGAATCTCGGAAATTCTGAGGGTGGAGCCTAGCCTACAGTAATCACCTCTGTTGTTTACGAGATCATCTGCGTAAATTCTTTTTGAATTGACATTTTTCAGTAGTTTTAATAATGATTTTCTGAACTTATTTATTTATTTATTTATTTATTGATTACGACCTTCCGTCGTGGAAAAAGAGAAAAAAAGAGAAAAGGAATACAATACAATCACACAAAACACAGATACACGAATAACTAAACAACACATTCAAATAAAGTGGAGAACCGAATAGTAACACTATTTCCAAATAATAGCACATAACCATCAACACATACACGCATACAGAATAAAAATTATACCTGCAATAATGATTAACAGAAATAATAAATTATTTTACAAATTAGAGAGAGGGGGCCTTGGGTTCTCAATTAGACTCAGAGTGCGGTTGACAAAGAAGTTTCGCCTTAGTTTAGATTTAGGAATGGGCCAGAGAAATCGTGTCTTTCTTCTAGTACGTGTTTCAGTTGACGCGAAAAATTCAGTTACGTTCAGACCTATTTTTTCCGATATCATTTTGATACCATTTTCCTGTCTATTGCTAAGCGTCTGGAGTGTAGTGAATTAAGACCAAAGAGTAGGTTGCGCCTGCTCGCAGATTTATATTTCTTATCGTTTGGGTTAATATATCTTCCTAGTTTCCGACTATCTCCACTTGTCTCCAGTGCTCAGAAAAATCCAGTTTTTCAGATACTAGAAATCCTAAGTCACGAGTTATTGTCTCTTTTTAATAGACTGACCTTCAATAAAGTAGTTCATAGTTTTCTTGCATTTACCTACTGTAAGAGCAACGGTTTTACTTGCGTTAAGAGGGAGTTTGGATTTTTCAGACCAATTATGTATTAAGTCTATGCTTTTTTGCAGCGGGTTGTCAGGATCATTTTCGTTAATCGAGGCATATAGTTTAGTATCATCTGCAAACTGTTTACAATGAACTTCGTGAGGGAGGAAAGACGATATTTCATTAACATAGATCCCAAAAAGAACTGGGGACAAAACTGCACCTTGCGGGACTCCGCAAATTGCTAGTTTTGAACCTGAAAGCGTGGTCCCCACCTTTACTCTATAATTACGACCAGAAAGAAAATCATCAAGCCACATTAACAAGTGAGCATTCAGGTTGAGTTTTAGTAGTTTGTTAAGAAGCCTATCGTGGGGAATCTTATCAAAAGCCTTAGAAAAATCTAGGTAAATAACATCAACTTGTCCCTTATTTTCAATCATATTGGTCCAGTCGTTTAATGTCTCCATCATATTAGTAACTGTTGATTTTTTGGCTCTAAAACCGTGCTGATTCTTACTCCAAAACTGTCTCTCATCTAGATAGAGAGCTAGTCTACTTAAGATACATCGTTCATACAGTCTACATAAGTGCGAAGTGAGAGAAATTGGACGATAGTCCACTGGATTCGTTGGTTTACTTTTTTTAGGTAACGGAATGATTATGGAGGATTTCCATCTACTGGGGACACAACCCTTCATCATTGTTAGATTAAAAAATTGCGCTAAAGCACTAGAAATCAGTGGCGCTATGAGTTTGATGAATTTAAAAGGCACTTCATCGCTGGTATCTGAGCAAGAATTTTTTGCTTCACGTAATCTTTTGTACACTTCATCATCAGTCACATAAATGAATGGCTGGTGGGAGACGTAGTTAGGAGGTAAATTGAATTGCTCTGTTCTAGGATTAGTGTACTGCTTCTCATATGAATCCGCTAAAAGATTAGATTTATCTTCGTCTGTTTTTAAACTAGTTCCGGTTTTATCTGTCAATGTCACAGAAGAGGCTGTTTTAGGCTTGAGCAGGCTTTTTGAAAATCTAGAGAATTTACTGGTTCCATATTTTTCAAGCTTTTTTAACTCTTCATTGCCCTTAAATTTGGTTAACTTTTTTCTAAACTTTCTGGCTAATACTACATATATTTTAAAATCCTCTATGTTTCTAGTGATCTGGGCAGTCTCATATTTCACGGCTACTTATTTCTCTAACAAAACCAAATGAGTGGGAAGCGATGTCGTTTCTAGTGGTGAAATTATTTGCTGTACTGAAATTTTCAAGGCCTGTTTTAAGTGATATATAAGATTTTCGTACATCTCATTAATAGATAGATTCATATCAAAAACTAAAGCCCAATCTACGGCATCGAAGTATTCCACGCAAGATCTTAAATCAATATTTCTAAAGTCATATATCAGCTGTTCAGAACGATTGATTTTACCCAGGAGGTCACATTGGATTTTTATGCTGTTGTGGTCACTCGACCCAACTGGATTCAAAACTGTAATATTAGAAAGAGAGAAATTAGAGAATACTACATCTAGGATATTAAGATTTCTGGTTGGACATTTAACATTTTGCTTTAAGTTATGGGTGATGCAAAAGTCAAGGAAGGTTTGACCCAATTTGGATGAGGTAACGGGGTGTTCAAGTTTCCAATCAATACCGCTGATATTCAAATCGCCTAAAATAATTACTTTACCTAATTTACTATGTCTGCTACTTTATTAAGCAGACGGATAGTGTTCTTATGAGAGCAGGAGGGAGTACGATAGATGTTCACTATTCTCACTGGTTCAACATCTACTTTTATATCAGTAACTAGTATTTCGTAGGATTTGGGAAAGGATTCTGCAGTAACAATATTAACCGGAAAATTTTTATTTATAAGCTAGCACACGCCACCTCCTCTTTGGTCATTTTCACGATCACATCTGTACACTATATAATTCTTGTTAGCGCCTGTCAAAATAGTATCTTGATTTTTAGAGGAAAGCCACGATTCTTGGATGCAAATAATATCAACTTCTTTTTTATCAACCACAGCCTGAATCTCTAACCTATTACATATTGCGGATCTTACATTTGCGGTCAAAACGGTCAAATACAGTTTTCGAGGTGGAGAACAATTAGGTACATTGCAATATAATTTTTGGCGAGCTCTAAAGTTACAATTAAAACGTGGTTGAGGTCCTACGTGGCTGATTAGTTTTTTGAGGAGGAAATTGTGGAGGGTATGGGAGACATGTTCACATCAACTAGGTTAACAGATAAAGGGGGTTTCTCAGTACGGAACTTGTGAGTATTCCTCCTTAAAACGATGCTTCTTTTTCCTGTAAGATTATTGGAAACTTTCAGCGTCGACCTGCTTGAAACTATGGTTCAACCGACTAAATCGAAAAGATTAGATTTGCAAGGGATTCGTGGATTGGCAATTCTTTCGGTTTTAGGATTCCACTTTTATCCATCCTACTTTCCTAATGGATATCTCGGAGTGGATCAGTAAGTTTCTTACTCCACCCAATTGATGAATTTTCCTGATTCCAGATTTTTCGTTCTCTCTGGTTTCCTAATGTGCATGTTGCTCACAAAATCCAAAGAGATGCCTGTCTGCTCTGCATTTCTCCATTTTTATTCTCGTCGTTTTAAAAGGATTCTTCCTCTCTATCTTCTATTTATTCTCCTCACGCTTATCGCTTTATATACTGTATTCTCTGAAAGTGCTACTATTCAAAATCAATCATCTGCCATGAAAGCACTAATTTTTGTTTCAAATCGTCCGCATACTGGAGAGGAGGATTACTTCGAGAAGCTTCTGATTGCCATCGATTTATTTACACACACATGGTCTCTATCTGTTGAAATTCAGTTTTATTTCATTGTTCCAATCATATTTTTAATTGGAAATCAGTTGAACGGACATTTCAGATACGGTTATTACTCAATTATAGGCGAGTTTTATCGGCAGCTCCGAAATCGTTCTTTGTCTTAATTACAGCACTTATTTCATTTTTGTTCTATTCAATTCTACCATCCGAAGTCGCATTCAACAGTTTGTTCGCTAGAATCTGGCAATTTTTGATGGGAATGATGATTTATTTGCATTCCATTACTCCAATTGAAAACAAAGAGTCTATTCTATCCTATAAGCTTTTGGATTCAACAGAGAACGGAGAATTGGTGGAAAACGTTTCTTTAATAGATGACTTTTCTGAAAATGAAGATGAAGAGAAAGAGGATGTTGAGGTTATCCCTCCAAAACCATCAACATATATTGGACCATTCTCTAAATACTGTTTTTTGGTTCCAATGGCATTTGTGATAACTTATCCAATCGCAATGTTTCCATACCTAGTTAGGTAGTTCGAAAGGATCGAAATTCTGAATATTTTTGAAAATAGAATCTCAATTTCAGACCTCTTTTCACATGCTTCACAGGCTTATTGATGTTAGTTTCCGTTGATGACGAATTTCTGAGTAACAGGGTACTGACCTACATTGGTGATATTTCGTATTCACTTTATCTTATCCATTGGCCAGTTTATGCATACACCAAAGTTACATTCGAGAATAATCCTTATGGTGAGCGAATCTGGAATTTCATGAGAACTTTGAACTATTTTCAGCACTTGCAAGTGGTCTTCTAGTTTCTGTGATTTTGGCAGTTATTGTTTATGAAACTTATGAGAAGTGAGTGATTTCTTATTCCCCCTTTTCAAATTTGAGTTGCACTTCAGATGGTATTTAAAACTGTCAAACACCTCTTGTGCACTTTTGATCGTGTTTTTCTTTATCATGAATGTTGCTCTTATCAACAAAGATGCAATTCATGATATGAATTTTTTAAATGACCAAGCATCCCAAAATTCTTCGGAAGGATTTCAAAGACTCGATGGTGTCACTCCAAACATGACGTTTGGTAGGTTTCGGTTTCAGACAATTCTTCGAACTTTAAAGGGGGACTCCGACCAAAATTTTTTATCGAATTTGATTGTTTGAAAAGTTCTTATTTTACTTCAAATGGTGGACAGTGGTTAAAAAGATAAAAAAATCGTAAAAAAAGGGGCTGGGTTTCTCACTGCGCGATAACTCAAATCCTCGTCCCTGTTCGCATGATCGGAGTCCCTCATGAAGTTATTACAGACGATGCAGCTCGTTTAAACAAAATGTGGAATAAGTTCGACATTGAAACGATGATAGAACCTGGATGTGTAAAACGAACACCAAAACATAGTAGATGGTGTGATTATGAGGTTGATTTTTGGAGAGTTGAATAAGAAAAAATGAAAAAAAAATGTTTACAGACGAAAGGCGACGAGTACAAACTAGCAATATTTGGAAATAGCTACACCAAAAACCATCATAAGATGTTTGTCCAAGAATGTAAAAATCGAGCATATAATATCACGATGGACTCGGAAAGAGGTAATAAACAATTTTGCTGGTATGCTGTGGAAGAGAAAATCTGGTGCCTACGACCACGACCAAATAGTTTTTACTGTTATATATTTTCCCGATTTTTGTCCGTTTTCCGACAATTTTTTAGATTTAGAACAATCTTATTTTTCTACGTGTTTTGTTGAGAAGCAATAGTAATCGATAAAAACTATCGAGTTTTTCATGTTACAGTGGTTTTCGTTATGTTTACCGTTGGCCACGCCCACAAGTTTTTCCCTTCCATCTCTCTGAATTTTTATACAAGTATAATACTCGTTTCCTTCAGGATGTGAACCACTGGCAGCCACTCCAAGTGATCATCCGTGTGTTAAAAAGCTTTCAGAATTTGTGGAATTCATTGAAAGTGCCAAACCAGATTATGCATTCATATTCACAAGGTAATAACTTTTATTTGAGGTTCCTCGTTCATTCATTTTTTTTCAGATTCTTTGCTGTTGCTGATCCATTTAAAGACAAAGACAATCAAGATATGGAACACGACAGAACATATATTGAGATGAAAAGTCAATTGAACAAGTTTCTGCCAAATATCAAAAAGAAATTGTACATTCTGGATTCTTTTCCTCGTGCCAATGCAGGATACATATCTCATGTAGCTAGTGATTTGAAAAATGAAAAATCCATAGAAGAGATAAGTGTGAGTTTTGAATTTCAATTATTCCTGAATAATACATTTTGAAAGATTTCAGAAATCCTTATTGAGGCCGGATGGATATGAAAGAGGACGTCTTCGCCACGCTGCTCTTGTAAAAGAGTGCGGAGAGAAATGTGAATTGATTGACTATCTTCCACTGCTTTGGAACAATGCTACCAGCACGTATCAATATTTTGACAAACGAGGATTCTCATATTTTACGTCTCCCAATCATCTTTCGGCTCATGGAATCGAGCTAGTTCGTCCAATCTATACAAAAATTTGTGCTAGTTTAAAATAGGAAGTTTAGAACTGTCGTTTAACCTAATAACTTAATATTTTTACCGGTTTTTTCTATGTCAAAACGGGATGGACTATCTAATAAATTGTTTGCTTTAGTTTTAAATGTAGTGAGGAAAACCTAATAAAGATTCCAGTGTTCACTGGAAAAATTTGGTATTTTTCATTCATGTTCAGATTATATGTCTACTTCTCTTCCTTTCGAACATTCTTGGTTTAGGGAAAATCACGAAGTTGATTCAGATACCAAAACCGATTTTAAAGGTTGACTCTGATCGAGAATTATGTTGGTAAAAAATGGTGGGATACCCAAAAATTCTTTCCAAGGGTTATTTTACATTTGGAATAGATTGCATTAACTGATTTTTAATAACTATCGTAGTTTGGGTCAGACGGCAGAAATGTAGGGGGATGGGTCCAAATCTCAGTGGACGCACTGTTGTGCATTTAATATGCATTGTGTGACATCAATGAATATAAAAAGATATGGAAAAAAAATTGAAAATAGGATAAGCAGAGATAGATCGAAATGAATGTGACCACTACTTTTCGAACAACCTGATAGTTATAGAGCGTCGTCTCGCATTTGTTATATGTTCCCAGCTGTTTTTACCCAGAAAGATGCAAAAATTGAAACAAAGAAATAGAGAGAAATGCAAAACATATTTGATCAGGAATAACTGAAATTAAGATAATAGAAAAGGGAACTACAGTAATCCATATACTCAAAAGTTATCTCTTTTGCCATTGGAGTCCTTGTTCTTTTTCATCATCCTTCTTTTTTTCTCCATCGATATTTTGCTGTTCTACCGCGTCTTTCAACCACCATCAATTTTCTGAATTTTTGAATCATATAAGAGTTTTTCTTCAAATTGATTCTGTGTCTCAAAACTTCAAAAATGTGGTATTTTCAACAACTTAAAATGGGGAACAGATCGGAATATGCTAGTTTAAACTAAGTGAATTCTTGACATGTTTTACACGAAAAAAGAAATAACAAAGAGTTGCGCAAGAGCTTCTTAGCGTTAAAAAGCGCTAGTGGAAATCATCCTACCAATAATCATCATCATCATTCTTATAATAAATAAATGAAGTTGCTTCTCTTTCTCTGTTTGTCAGTCTGTCCGCACATTTTTGAAAAGCTTGAAAATTAAATATAAAGTGCCCTTTCTTTTTGAAAAAGAGAGAGGAGCAAAGCGACGAACATTAAAATAACCACAGGTGATTCGTGAACAATCCGTTACAGACGCTCCGCGTTCGCGCGCGGTTGAAATAGGAACCGCATACGGACCGTGCGCGAACGCGAAGCGTCCGTAACGGACCCGTTCGCATTTTACCTGTGTTGGCAGTGACCTGGATTTTGCAGGTGATGACACACTTCTGAGCTGGTCCTTGATAATAGCATGGCGTTCTCTCAAAAACTACTAATAGGAAAGCGCCTATCAGTAATTTTTATAAGTCAATGTCGATTTTTTTCTTCTTTTGAAATTCTGTTTTGTCTTCTGGAGATGTTCCCCTTCTACTACCCCCATCCCCAACCTTTTTGGTTTTAGAGCTTCTCTCGAGCCGCTGTAGTTTCTGAATCCTAATTTTTTTAAATTTCCCAGTTTACGAATATCGGAAGTACTGACATACAGAATTTCCAATTTTTCAAATAAGACATTTCTGAAATTCGGAGTATTCCCTTTTCAAGCAAAGCTTCTCTTTCCAAAATCGATTATTCAAAATTTTCATATTTCAGCGTCGACCTTCTTTAAACTATGGTTCGATCGAATCCATCAAAACAACAAAATTTACAAGAGATTCGAGGATTGACAATTCTTTCGGTTTTAGGATTCCATTTTTATCCGTTCTACTTTCCTAATGGATATCTTGGAGTGGATCAGTAAGTTTTCTACTCCCTTCAGTTGATACATTTTCCTGATTCCAGATTTTTCGTTCTCTCTGGTTTCCTGATGTGCATGTTGCTCACAAAAACCAGAGGAGATGCCTGTCTGCTCTGCATTTCTCCATTTTTATTCTCGTCGTTTTATAAGGATTCTTCCTCTTTATCTTCTATTTATTCTCCTCACACTTATCGCTTTGTATTCTCTGAAAGTGCTACTATTCAAAATCAATCATCTGCCATGAAAGCACTAATTTTTGTTTCAAATCGTCCGCATACTGGAGAGGAGGATTACTTTGAGAAGCTTCTGATTGCCATCGATTTATTTACACATACATGGTCTCTATCTGTCGAAATTCAGTTTTATTTTATTGTTCCAATCATATTTTTAATTGGAAATCAGTTGAACGGATATTTCAAATTTTAGCACTTATTTCATTTTTGATCTATTCAATTCTACCATCCGAAGTCGCATTCAACAGCTTGTTTGCTAGAATCTGGCAATTTTTGATGGGGATGATGATTTATTTGCATTCTATCACACCAATCGAAATTAAAGAATCTATTCTATCCTATAAGCTTTTGGATTCAACAGAAAACGGAGAAACGGTTGAAAACGTTTCTTTAATAGATGCCTCTTCTGAAAATGAAGATGGAGAGAAAGAGGATGTTGAGGTTATCCCTCCAAAACCATCAACATATATTGGACCATTCTCTAAATACTGTTTTTTGGTTCCAATGGCGTTTGTGATAACTTATCCAATCGCAATGTTTCCATTTCTAGTGAGGTAATTCAAAATGATCGAATTTTGGGTTTAAAAAACTCAATTTCAGATCTCTTTTCACATTCTTCACAGGTTTATTGATGTTAGTTTCCGTCGATGACGAATTTCTGAGTAACACGGTACTGA